ATCTCATGCCCTAATAAAGTTATTATTTACTTTCAAACTAACCTTATCTTTTTATATTTATCCTTATTAAACACCATACAATAATTATAAAGTTATTATTAATAAGAGTATTTTTAAAAAAAAATAATGATTATATTTTAAAAGATTAAAAATATTTTATATTTTTTAATATTTAATTTTTTAAAAAATATTTTATATTTTTAAATGAAAGAAGTAACGTTTAAACACTATAGACTCTTCATGTTATAAATTATCGGCCACTCAACGCTACTCCCCCTTTTTAAAACGGTAATGCCATCTGACAGTTAAAGGAAGACCTCAAGAGTGGAGAGAGGTTGACTTTGCAGTTCCCACCCGCAATATACCAAGTTACACATAACCAACTATTGCCAGCTCCCTTAATTATCTTTCCCATAATCTCACACCCACACAGATCAAACTGCTCATTGCTGCTTGTCTTCAAATTCTTTTCAGCTTGCTCCTTGAGTTGTTTCTTCAAGAAAAGTTTATAATATAAAAATAAAAAAAAAATCCTTTTGCTTCTTGTGATTTCTCGTGCCGCCGTTTATCTTTCCTCTTTCGAATTTCTTATCATCATAGGTTTAATTATTTTCTTCCCCCAAAAAAAAAATTACTTCTGCTTCTTGTGATTTAGTTGTTGTGCCAACGCAACCTTTCTTTCAAATTTTCTTTTGATCATCAGTTCATTTTGTTAGGGGGAAGAAAAAATCCTTTTGCTTGTCGTGATTTATATGCTGCGCTGCTGTAGCATTTCTTTCAAATTTCTTTTGATCATCATCTTATTTTTCTTTAAAAACCATAAAAAAAATCCTTTTAGTAGTTGTGATTATTTTCTTGTGCCGCTTTCAAATTTCTTTAGATCGTCAGTTTATTTTCTTCAAAAAGAAAAATCCTGCTTGTTGTGATTTCTTGTGTGACCTCGACGGTTCTTTCATATTTCTTTTGATCATCAGTTTATTCTCTTTTAAAAAAATCAAAGAAAATAGAGAAAGAGAGAGGGAGCTGATATTGCTTTTGAAGAAGTTCGATCTTTCAGGAAAGGTGACAAATCTGCCGATCATCTCGCTCTCGCCTTAGTCTTGTAAAGTTCTTCGGGATTGTTCTTGCCTAGTTTTCTAGTTTGTTTTTCCATTCCTCTTGTTAAAGAAGAAGAAGAAGAAGAAGTTTGATATTTGAAGACGCCGTAAGTTCATATATGTCAAGTATAAGCTTTGAAGACGCCTTACGTTCATATATATCAAGTAAGCCTAATACATTATCTTCGTCTCTTACTTTTTAAACTTCCATTTGCTTGTTAGTTTTTTTAAGTTTCTTTGTTGTTTATTTATTATTTGTCTATGCCAAATATTCTGAATCTTCTTGTCCAGTTATTTTAATTATTCGATCTTAATGTGAAACTTCATGGAGTGTTTGGTTCAACAATGAACAACGGTGGGAATGAATTTAATTTTAATCTCTTCTTGTTTAACTAGTTGAAAATGAGGGGTATTTTAAATAATTCTGGTTTGCTTCACAAAGGAATGGGAGGTAATTACAAATTGACCAATATGCCCTCATATTATTTTATTTTTAAAAAAAATAATTGAACATTTTATCTGAATAATCAATAATATATTTTATAAGAAAAAACTTTTATATTTAGTCTCATATATTTACTGTTCTTATTTCTAATTAAATTAAAAAAATTATAGATTTTTTATTTTATAATAAATTCTTGTTATTAATATTTTTAATTTATTAAAATTTATTTATTTTTATTTGATTGAATAAAAATATATTAAATATATAATGACAAGTATAGAAGTCTAACCCTATATTATAAAACTTACGAGTTTCTAAATTAAATAAAGGTTATTTAAAAATAATTGAACATTTTATCTTATCCAAAGCACTATCCGAAGAGCTTGTCTTCTTCCACCGTAAATTTTGAAATTAGGATCTGTTTTCATGAGCTGAAAATAGAAATATTATTTTAACTGTAAATATTTTGTTGCCTGTGTGCTCATGTCTTCATATTTAATTTGTATTCTTATTTCAGCTCCCAAAAAAAAAAAATTGTATTCTCACATGCCAGATTTTCCTTTACGTTAAGCTGCTTTTCTTCCTCAAGCATTGTCGTTTTAAACGGTTGAAATCTTCATAAAAAAGTGGTAAGTATGCATCTTGAATATAATTGAGCTTCATTCTTGTATCTTCATTTTTATTTGTCTTCAAATTTTGTATTTGATGAATTTCAATTTCAATCATTAATGCATCCTCAAAATATTCAGAGTTTTAAATAATAGTAGATCTTTTTCAGATAAAAACATAAATCTTTTAACTTTCCCTTAAGTAATGTCGATATCATTCTTGTTTTATGTTTCTCATTTTAACTTGTATGTAAATAAGTTGGCTTGTTAAACTTGTAAGTTAGATATTATGAAAATAGGTATCATCTATTTAATTAAATAAGTATAATTGAGTATAATTAAATATTTAAATTCAACTTAAACATATTTAATAAATAATTTAGATTGTGAAATACCTCAGGTGGTTGGTAATGATAGGGGCTCACCTACTTCCACTCCTAGTAAAACATAAAAGGCCTATCGTGCAATAAACATTTTTTAAATAATATTTTTAATTAATAAAGGTTGATGATTGATGTTGTTAATGGTATTTTAACATTTGTGAGATAAAATATTTTATGAATTAAAAGAAGACCTCGAGAGTGGAGAGAACTTGACTTTTCACGTGATACCTAATCTCATCAGGTCTTTCCCCTAATCTCATCGATTCTGCAAATTTTGCTTCGAAGCGGCCCACTCAGATTAAACAAATCAAACTACTGTTTGGTGCTCGCCTTCAAATTCTTCTTTCTTCTTCAGCTTTTCCTTTCACTCGTTTCTCCCAGAAAAGTTTAAACTATCAAAAATAAAAAAATAAAAAATAAACATCCTTCTTTTTTATTTTGAGCAAACAAAAAAAAAATAAATATATAAACATCCTTCTACTTCTTGTGATTTCTTGTGCCACCGTAACTTTTTCACATTTCTTTTGATCATCAGTTTAATTTCTTCAAAAAACAAAAAGAAAAATCGTCTTGCTTGTTGTGATTATTTTCTTGTACGCCGCCCTAACTTCTGTTTCTAGTTTCTTCAGACCATCAGTTTATTTCCTTAAAAAACAAATCATTTTAATCTGCTTGTCGTGATTTCTGGTGCCTCTGCAACCTTGCTTTCAAATTTCTTTTCATCATCAGTTTATTTTCTTCAAAAAAGAAATGAAAAAAATAACAATAAAGAAGGCGAAGGAGCTGCGATATAGCTTTGAAGAAGTTTGATCTTTCATGGAAGCTAACGAAGCTTCTGATCATCTCACTCGCATTAGTTAGTGTGATTAAGTTCAGCCAGGAGATTTTTCTTGTCTGGCTTTCTAGTTTGCTTTTCATTCCTCTTAGCTTGTTACAAAAAAGAAATTTGATCTTTGTAGCCTTGGTCAACGCAGCACGGGAGACCCAATAGAGTGCCCCCGGCAAGGAATCAAATATCCGTCTCCGAACTTCTTGTTACGAGATACGATGAACTACCTCACTACAATTATCCCACTAGAATTCAGGAGAAGGAGCTGCTAAGCCTAAGGTGTTCATTTTGTTTAAAAAAATACTCTCTTTATTTAAAAATATAAAATATTTTTAATTAAATTTTATTTCTTAATAAAATTATTATTAAGAAATAAAATTATTATTTATTTTTAAACTAATCATATCTTTTTATATTTACCCTAATTAAATACTTTACAATAAATATATAGTTATTATTAAAATGAACACTTAAAAAAATAAGTAATGATTATGTCTCAAAAAACTAAAATGCCTTACATTTTTAAATATTTAACTCCTCAAAAAATATTTTTATTTTTAATGAAGGGAGCATAACAAACTTTTAATTTTAATTCTATTTAATTAATTTTGTAAGAGTTACATAACATTCTCTCTTACTTAATGAATTTAAATATAAATAATATTTAAAAATAATTAATATCTGCTTATATTAAAAACCAAAAATTATTTTTAAAAAGTGTCCCGTAATATACTCACTTTAACTCAAAATATAAACATTTTCTTTAGTTAATTCTAATTTAAATATAAGCATACATGTAAATTTATTTTATTTTATTTCTTGTATTTGTTAATCTAGACATTTATGTAAATTTATCTCTCATTCATAATAAAATGCATTGATAATAAGGACCAAGGATAAAAAAATATTTTTATAAGAATGAAGACTTTATTGTTATACAAATTTTTCTTAAAGCTGGCTATATTTTGGATTTGAAGGAGTAGAGTGCTCCATCAAATTGTAATATATGATACTATCTTTGTCTTTATATATAAATATTTTTAATTGAATTACATAAATTAATAAAAGTTGATTATCTACTTAGAAGCATAACAATATTTCAGTTTTTCCTGGATTATTGTAAATACAAAAAGAATTTCTTTTTTTCAAAATAAATTGATGAGTACTTATTTTTTTTCTTTATAATATAATAAGGACATAATAATTCATTTATTACAAATTATTCTAACAATCTCATATATTCCGAGACAAAATATTTTTTTAAATTTTTATATATAAGGACAGAAGGTGTATTTTCTAGAAGTCATGTTTAGTTTAAAATATAGGATATGGTGTAGGTTATAAATATATATATATATATATATATATTAATTATACCTTTATTTTATTATATTTTACTCAAGTAATTAATGAGAGTGTTTTGAATAAGTTAAATATTATATTTATTTTCTTTAAGGTTATAATTGAAAATATGTAATTTTTTTTAAATTAAGATTTTCATCAATTTTTTTTAGAATCCTAATTAGTTTAGGATTACTTATTAGAATTAGTTATATATTGTAGTTAAGAGAGAGTTTTTTTTTTTAAACAATGATGGATTGATGATTCATGTTGTTAATGACATTTTAATATAGTATTAGAAAGACAAACTATTTTATGAATTAAAAGAAGATCTCGAGAGTGGTGAGAGTTAGACTATCCACACTATACCAACCCGTGGTCACTCATCGGATTCTCCAAGATTTGCTTCAAAGCAGTCCGCTCAGATCAAACCAAAAACCGTTCCTGCTTGTGGCTTGCCTTCAATTTTCTATCTTCCTCCTCCAAGTTTTCTCTGTGAGTCATTTCTTCAAGAAAAGTTTAAACTAAAAAAAATTAAAAAAAAATCCTTTTGCTTCTTGTGATTTCTTCTGCTGCTAGCTTTCCTTCCAAGTTTAATTTTTTGCTCATCAGTTTATTTTCTTCAAAAACAAAAAATCATACCTGTTGTAATTTCTTGTGGCACGTTAACTTTTCTTTCAAATTTATTCTCATTATCAGTTTATTTTCTTCTGAAAAAGGAAGAAAATAGAGGAGGAGAGGGAGCTTATATTGCTTTGAAGAAGTTTGATCTTTCAGGGAAGCTAATAAATCCGCCAATTACCTCGCTCTCGCCTTAGTCTTGTTAAGTTCTTCATCAGGATTGTTCTTGCCTGGTTTTCTAGTTTGTTTTTTCATTCCTCTTATTACCCAAAAAGAAAAGAAGTTTGATCTTTGAAGACGCCGTACGTTCATATGAGGTAAGCCTGATACATTATCTTCGCCTATTACTTTTTTACACCTCCATTTGCTTGTTAGTTTTTAAGTTTCTTTGTTGTTTATTTACATTTTTATATACCAAAAATTCTGAATCTTGTTAATCTGTAACATCATGGAGTGTCTGCCTCAGCCCAAGGAGGAGATGAACTTTAATGACTTGTTGTTTGGTTGAAATAGGACATTATTTTAGGGAGAATGAAATGAAATAAATAAATAAAGACAAAGAGAAAATGACCAAAGGAAATATATCAATGATTTATGAGGTTTGTGAATCATGTTGTGATTTTTGGTATTAGATTTTATTATGTTTATTATTAGGAGGAGGGTAATTTAATTTATTTTTTATTATTTTTATTAGATTTTATGTTGTGATTTTATTATTTTTATTATGTTTATTATTAGGAGGAGGGTAATATATCAACGCCAATCTAAATATTTGGACTGGTGAGAGAACTGACGAGATAGATCTCTTGCCAATGTTACATCTTACTGCATTATACAATTGACATTTATTAAATAATGTACCCACATTGACAAAATTTTGGTTTCAGGTTTTCTCGTCATTGAATTTACAACAAATATTTCTGAAAAAAAAAAGAATTTACAACAAATATTTTGACTCTGCTTAAGAAGTTGGGAGAAGCATCCCTATTCCAGTACTCCCAGTGAAGGAAAGGTAGTTTTATTTTATATATAAAACACTCTAACTCTCTCTCTAACATTTTGTTTCGTTTTGTTATTCATTGGCATGTGTTCCTTTACTATGATATTTTTTTTTCTTATTGAGGACTTATTTTAGCAGCTGTCACATAAATAAATAATTGTTTATTCCGAAGAAAGGATATAGGCAAGGGGTGGAGTTTTATTTAGTGAGAGGTGGTAAGACATGCTAAAATCAATTATAAACTTAAAATCATGATTTTTAATAAATATCCAAACATTCTTCGATGTTTAGTTATCGTGATGAAACTTAAGTGACCTTCCCACCAAAATAGTCATAGTTACAATAGAGTTATGCAGCTAACTACTTGTTTAATAAAATACCCCCTCCTAATCTAATTATAAGACCCCTAGGCCCTAGCTAGCTACCTATTAATCTTTAACATTAGAGCCTTTACAAAATTTAATGAAACATTAATGACGTATTTTCAAAAATGTCCTTATATCTTATACTCTTGACTTCAATAATGACTTTAATTTGATTAAGGGTAGTTTTGAAAAGTTGTGAAAATCTTTGACATTTAATTAACTTTTATAATTTTCTTAAAAAGATAGTTAACAGGGCTTATACAAAAAAGACTGGAAAAAGTATTTTCCTAAAAATTAATATCAAATTAATTATCATTACATGTTATACTTTTTTTATGGAAAACTTAGCTTATAATTTACCACAGATGGTTTAGGTTTGAGGATACGATCATTTTCTACCTATTGGTGAGCAGTTGGTGAGTATATTCAATAAGTGTATACAAAAAAAAGGGGTGATATATTAATAATTACTTTTGCATGTAACCATAATAGCGTGCGTTAACAAAAAGGCAAATATAAATATTGAATCCTATAATTTTATCACGTACTCTTTTTTTAATATTTTAAGTCTTTATAGTTTTTTTTATTTACAATATTAATCTCTCTATTTCTAAATATATCTAGTGGGATGATGATGCAGTACTAACAATATTAAATCAGGTAAAAGACATTTGATGCATAAGGTAAAAGGCTTTACCAACTAAAATTACTTTCTAATGCTCAGTGACAGAGCGGGGGCACGGAGGGTTCTTGCCTGCTTGCATTTTATAACCTTTGGTAAATATTATCTTTTTTATTCATAAAATAGTCTAAATTAGATTTTGGCCTCTCATTCTTCATGTTCTTTTCAAGTTGCCCCCCAACCGCTAAGTTTTGGATCCGTCCTTGCCTACATTGACAAGTGTTGCTGTCAAAACAATCATCAAAAAGTAATTGTCCTTTTTTTTTTTAACTTTCTACTAATTCAAATTGCCAACTCATTGTATTTTAAACACATTAACATCATCATTAATGTTGTTAGTGACACATTGGATAATTTAACACAGTTATTAGTATAAATTATTGTCCCTCTGGACATATTCAAAAGTAGAGGGATGAACATGGTAGATGAGACAAACCAGAGGGATCAACAACAAAACATTATAAAAATTATAGAGATCAATATTTATGTTTTCCGTTGACAAAATATTAATCATTATGAGAGGCTTATAGGATAAATTTATATTACATAGGACTCTAATTATTATCTCAATAAATCATACATCTAGAAGAATAATTAGATGATCAATACACTAAATGAACTGATACTTCGACAGCGTTCACTCCTTTAAATTAAAATGCTTTGGACGTTAAAAAAAAAAGCTTTTGATGGCTATGTATTTGTCTTTTACACATGGGCAGATATAGCATGAATAACTTTCTAACTATTTATCGTGGTCGTTCATAATCAGGTAAAGTTATTTTCAATGGCGTGTCAAGACTTTGGAGTCAATCTTGGTGCTGGAGTTGTGGCAAATTTGGTGACGACAGTAGCGCGAGAAGCTCGCCATTGTTATAAATTCAACAAGATTGTTAAAGATCTGGAAGTTGAACAAAACAATTTAAGGTCAACAAGAGAAAGCATGCAAGTCCAAGTTAGAAAAGCCAAAGCAAACACCTATGAGCCTACAGAGGTCACTCGGGAGAAGTTGAAGAAAGTAGAAGATCTCTTAGAAGAAGCAAAGAAGTTGAAAGGGAAAGCAGAAGCAAGCAAGAGCTGTTGTAATGCCGTTTTGCCTAATTGGATATGTCGATATATTGTTGGTAAGAAAGTAGCAGGAGTGACTGAAGAAATGAAGCAGCTCAATGAAAACTGGGGACAAAATCTATTGTTTGCACATCGTCAATCTCTTCAACCCATGCGTATGTCAGAAGATTTCATTTTTTTTGAAAGCAGAGAAAAAGGTCTCGAGAGACTCTTAATGGCGTTGAAAGATGACGAGAATACAAGGATTGGGCTTCATGGAATGGGTGGTTGTGGTAAGACATCCTTGTTAAGAGCAGTGCAGGAATCAGTTAGGGACTTGAAGCTATTTGATAAAATTGCCTTTGTCACAGTGTCTAAACGTCAAAAGACAACTATTCAACAAGACATCGCAAGCTGGTTAGAGTTGGATTTTGGGACGGAGATAGGTGGTGAAGACACTAGAGCTACTAGACTGTCCATGGGGTTTGCAGGGGATAAGAAGTATCTCATAATCTTAGATGATGTGTGGGAAGTCCTTCAATTTGATAAAATAGGGATTCCTCTTGGTAAAAATTGCAAAGTTCTTTGAGCACTCGAGGACAAAATTTATGTACCATGATGGATTGCCAAGAAGCGATTCATCTATCACTTTTGACGAAAGAAGAAGCTTGGGATTTATTCCAAAGGCACGCTGGTGTAATAGCAGATAGTGATGTGGCACAAGAGATCGCTGATAAATGTCATGGATTACCTATTGCAATTTAAGTTGTGGCTAGTATTTTGAAGGATCAACCTCTGAATGTATGGAAAGATGCATTAGCAACATTGAAAGATCACAGACAACCTCTATGCATTGAAGAAGGATTGGAAGATTTTTATAAATGTTTAGAATTAAGTGTCAATCGTTTGAAGGATCAGGAGAAATCCCTTTTCTTATTATGTGCTTTCCTAGCCAAAGATTCAAAAATTGCTCCTGAAGATTTGATCAAGATTGCATTTGGACTGGACATATTTGATGATGTTGACTCTTATAGCAGAGCTAGAGACAAAGTGGATATAGCCATTGATAAAATCAAAAAATGCAGTTCGCTGTTACAAGTTGAAGGACAAATTGTTGAAATGCATGACTTGGTGCGTGATGTAGCCTTATTGGTAGCAGATAAAAAAACTCATGTGATTACTGGGCCTGGACATAATCTAATGGCCTTCATAGAAAAGGATGATTGGGAAGACACAAGAAGATTGTCTTGCCGTGATGTTAATGAATTCCCAAATCAGCTAAACTGTCCAAATCTTGAGATCCTATTCATCTCTACTGGTGGTGGATGCTACTCAGAACTCCCAACTACATTCTTCAAGAAGACGATAAAGCTCAAGGTACTGGTCATAGTAAATACATTTATATGGAGAAGCCCAAATCTATTGTTGCCCCAATCAGTTGATGAGCTAAGAAAGCTTCGGACTCTCTGCTTGAGAGGATGGAAATTAAACAACATATCTATTTTGGGAAAATTGAATATGCTTGACACTGTTCAACTGTTAAACTGTGTGGTGCAAGAGTTACCTAACGAATTAGCTGGATTGAGGAAGTTAAAATTTTTGGAAGTATCAGGGAGCAGAATAGGAGGCAATCCTTTTGAAGTGCTAGCAAGATGTTGTCATTTGGAGGAGCTGTATTTCATTGAAAATAATGTTTCTGAAATGGTTTCAAATGATCAAATTGTCGTTGAATTGTTTCACCAAATTGGCCACTCTAAGAACTTGAAAAGATATCATCTAGAAATTGGAAGGTGCATTGATACTTTGAAGGATGATTCAACATCAAAATTCATATCTATCAATGATTTTAATGTCTCTAGTACAAATGTTGAAGCAATCCAGAATTTGGCACAAAAACTGGAGGTACTTTTCTTGGAAAAGATTAGAGGAGATTATAAAAGCCTCATTCCTGAGATGATTCCATTGGAAGGAGAATGCAAGATTGAGCTAACTGAAATTCTACTATTTGATTTTAACATAGAATGCTTGATCGACACCACAAATCAACTATATGAGGAAAGCATCTTGTTCCCCAAGTTGATGAAACTGAAAATTGAAGCCATGAACAGCTTGGAAGCCTTGTGTCGTGGTCTAATTCCTCCTGGCCTTTTTGAGAATTTAAAGGAGCTAATCATAATACAATGTGGCCGATTGGTATCTATAGGGCAGCTAAAATTATTTCAGCTCAAAGCCATACAATTGGAAGGTTGTCCAGAGTTGATATTTCTCTTCACAACGGCCACTGCTCAAAAAATGGAAATGTTAGAAGTGTTAAAAGTAAAAGAATGTGATAAATTGAAGCATATAATAGATGGGAGAGAAGATGACATTGTTTCAACAACAGAGCCTGTGTTCCCAAAAATAAAACAAGTCTGTATCAAGGGATGTGAACATCTAGAATGCATACTACCAGCACTGTTTGCCAGTGGCCTTCCACAATTGGAGAGTCTCGAAATAGAAGAAGCTCGTGCGTTAAAATATGTATTTGGCAAATGGAATTGTGAAGTAGGACATCGAAGACAGAGCATTGAACTCCCTGTTCTGAGAGTTATGAAGCTCATTCACTTGCCAAATATTACTGGTATTTGCCCACAATATTGTGATGTAACATGCCCATCCTTGGGTAAACCACATGTAATGGGTTGTCCACGATGGCGTGGAATGTCTGAAGTGAGACAGCAAGGCGATGGCAAAGCTAAAAAGCAGGTAATATTATTGTGGATGAGTACACACTACACATGCACGCACAGAGCTTAGCCAAGTAATTGCATCAATCACTTTCTAATTATGTATCGTTTTGGTTCTATTCAGGATGAGTCGCTTTCAGTGCCGGGTGGTGAGGACTTGGGAACCAATGTTCAGCATGATGCTGGGAAAAATTTCATGCTGGTACGTAGAGTAACCCCTTCACCTTAAGTTAATTAAATTATATTTAATTATTTTAGTGGCAGCAAAGTTAAAATACATCAAGTACTAGTATTAAGAAAGTCACAACTTTTCAATATCTTTCATAAGATAAAGGAAAAATCTAGTTACACATTACATACAACATAACATCACATGAAACCAAATCAGGATGTCCCCTCAAGCGGATTCACACAAAACATGTTCCTACTTCCAATCTATATCATCACCTTGATGCCCTCACTTGAGTAACAATATCACCCAACTTGGACTCAAGTTTATTATCTTTATCAGTATTTATCTACCCTATATTAATTCTAATTTTTAGTGACTAGTAATTATCATTTTAATACACGCACACAAACATACATATATGTACGTACGAATGTATGTGTGTGTTCTTGACATACACATGATTTCTAGAAATTTTAAATGTTAATTTTTTTGGCTATTTTGTTTTTTTTTTTTGAAAAATTTGAATATGATATTACATCTTCTTGGGAAATCATTTTAAATGGCCTCCCTAAAAAGCCAACTTGTTTTAGAGAAAGCTTCTATTCTCCACATTGGATGTTGAATACTCTTATGATGTGTTTGGATTAATGAAGATTTGGATTTGGATTTGAATTAAATTTCTCAATTGAATACACAAAAATTTATGACTTCAAATTATAATTTTATTTTAATTTCAAATTTCATTTACACTTTAATTATTTAAAATTTTAATCACTTCAAATATTTTGTTCTCTTTGCATTTTCACTGTTCATATATTTATGGCTTTTGTATCTTTTCTCACCTCTTGTCGATTAATAATAAAAATAAACTTATCATTTTTTTTTTTTTTTTTTTTTGAATCTCAATTCATTTCTCTTCTTCATTAAATGATTTTACATATGTGGATTTCAAATGTAATTTAAAATGCAAGATTTTAAATTTAAAATTCAAATTCATCAATCCAACGCTACCTTTGTTTCTTTAATTACCATAATGCCAATACTTTAGAGAAAATGATTATTCATCTTTTCTAAACATTCAGGAATACTTCTAATATATTTTGATAATTATAATTTCCCTGGATAATGTCCTTGTTTTTGGGAAGATGTTAACAATTAGCATTATACAGGAAGCCTTCCAATGTATTTTTCGATTCAACGCTCTTCTTACAAATCTCAGAAATGAAAAGGCCTACTTAAGATTAACAATACGAGAAATAGAAACCCACTTTGCCTGCATGGTTGAGCCTCCAAAAGACCTTCTGAAACAGCTGGCAAAGGCAGAGAACGTCATAGAAATGGCAGGGACGTTGGAAGACGTAGCAGAAGCAAGCCAGAGCCGTTGTGTTGGGGTTTTCCCTAACTGGTCACGTCGATATATTGTAGGCAAGCAATTAGGAAGGTTGACTCAAGAAGTTCGTCATCTCTGTTGGAGTATTGAACTTGTTACATACTCATTTCAAACCCGGGTTAGGAATCCCCAAGGACTCCCCTTGGTAGATGTATGTTCCAATAAGAGAGAGACAGATAGGGAGGGCGGGCCCCACCTGGGAGAGAATCCAACTCTGGTCCCAGCGAGTCATTCAAAAAACTTCACTGCCTTCAAGTCTAGAAAAGAGCCATATGGTGAACTATTCACGGCTCTGAAAAATGATGACATTGACATGATTGGGCTCTATGGAGAGAGGGGTTATGGTAAAACATTCTTGGCCTCAGAAATATGCAGGGCTGCGATGCACTCGAAGCTCTTTGATGTGGTTATATTTTACATGCTCTCCACTAATTATACAAGCGTCTCATTAATTCAAGATAAGATTGCACACAGTTTAGGCTTAATCTTAGATGAAGACGAACGCCATAGAGCTGCAACGCTCTCCAAGAGGTTGAATAATGGTGACAAATTTCTTATAGTCCTGGATGATATTGTAGAAGAGCTTAATCTCGAAGACATAGGGATTCCCCTTGGTAAAAATAGCAAGGTTATTTTGATTGCTTCGAAAAATAATTTACGTGCCTTGGTGGGTTGTCAAAAAGTGATCTCTCTGTCACTTTTGACCCAAGAGGAAGCTTGGATGCTATTCCAAAGACATGTGGGCACATTAGAAGATGAAGTTTTGGCACAAGAGATTGTAAAAAGATGTCGAAGATCACCCATTACAATTACAATCGTGGCTGAATCTTTGAAGGGCAGGTCTGCAGATATGTGGAAGGAAGCATGGGAAGCATCTAGAGGTTATGATGGCCTAGCAATGGTTGACAAATGTGTGCGATTAAGTATTTCAAAATTGCGTTATGACGCGAGCTCACTTTTCGTATTATGTGCTTTCTTTCCAGAAAATTCAAACATCACTCTCGAACTTTTGATCAGATGCGCATTTGCATCGGGCATATTTGAGAATGTTCAGTCCTATGAAAGAACTAGAAGCAAAGTAGGTGCCGTCATTGATGAACTCCTGAACTCTTGTCTGTTATTGCTAGCTGAAGAAGAGCAATATTTTCACGTACGCGACTTGGTGCGTCAAGCAGCTTTGGGAGGAACGAAAACTCGACTAATTAGAGGGCCTGGAGAGTATTTAATGGCCACAATAACAAGAAAGGTCGATGATACAAAAAGATTATATTGCCATGATATAACTAAATACCCAAATCAGTTAATGTGCCCTGAACTTGAGATTCTATTTGTTTCTGATGATAGAGGGTGCTCACCAGAATTTTCAGATATTGTTTTCAAAGTCACTACAGAGCTGAGGGTGTTGGCCATTACAAATGCATGTACATTGAGAACACCATATCTTTGGTTGCCCCAATCAATTGAAGGGTTGAAAAATCTTCGAGCTCTTTGCTTGAGAGGATGGAACTTGGGCAATATCTCTATCTTGGGAAACTTGGAGATGCTTAACACTGTTGAGCTACTATATTGCACAATAGAGGAGCTACCCAAAGAATTATGGAGACTAAGGGAATTAAGGTTACTTGAAGTATCAGGGTGCAGCATAGGAGGAGGTGATCCTGTCGAGGTGGTAGCCAGATGTTTTCAACTAGAGGAGTTGTATTTTGTTGGAAACGATCTTCAAGAAAGTGTTTTAAGGGATCGTACCCTTGTTGATCTATTGTACCAAATTAACTTCTCTAACGTATTGCAAAGGTATCATCTAGAAATTGGAAGTTCCATAAATACTTTGAAGAAAGATTTGAAGTCAAAATTCTTGTCTTTAAATAATGTCAGGATAGAGAATCTCGCGCGGAAAGTGGAGGTTCTTTTCTTAGAAAAAATATTGACAAATCATAAAAATATCATTCCTGACATGATTTTAGGAGGAGAATGCATGAATGAGTTAATTGAATTCCTACTTCGTGATTCTGACAAAATTGAATGCTTGGTTGACACCACAAACCGTCAGTCTTATCAAGCTAGAAGTGTCTTCTTCAAATTGCAAAAGTTGAATGTCGAGAACATGAAGTGCTTGGAAGCCTTATGCCATGGTCCACCTCCTTCTGGCCTTTTTGAGAAACTGGAGGAGCTATTTATAATGGGGTGTAGCCAGCTACATCGCATAGTCTCAGTTGGCAAGCTGAACTTGTGTAGTCTCAAGTTCTTACAATTGGAGGAATGTCCAAAGCTGACCTTCGTCTTCACACATTCTACAGCTCAAACTATGGTACTATTGGAAGTGTTGAAAGTAAGAGATTGCGTTGCATTGGAACATATAATAAAATATGAGGAGGAAGAGGATGACATTATTTCTGTAGGGCCTTTATTCCCAAAATTGAAACAAGTCCTTGTTGAGAGATGTGATCATCTGGGATGTTTAATTCCGGCATCTTTTGCTGGTGGCCTCTTGCAACTTGAGACTCTTGAGATAAAAGATGCTTCTGGTTTGGAATATGTTTTTGGCAAATACAATCATGGAGAAGATCAGAATCTGAACCAAAGCATTGATCTTCCGGTGCTGAAAGTACTCAAGCTTACTAATTTGCCAAAAAATTTCGCATTGCCCTGCAAAATTATCATGTAACATGGCCACCCTTTGACGGACAACATATCAGTGGATGTCCAGATTTGAGCGGCATGCCTTCGTTTGATTTAGAAGTAAGAGAGCAAGGTGACAATGAAGCTACAAAGAAGGTAATATATGTGTATATAGATACACACATAAATAGAAGTGCCTAATTTTTCATGCCATGATATATTAATTTTTTTTGTTAATCGTGTCATAGGAGTTGGAACTTCCAGCACAACTTAGCAGCCAGATGATTGAACAAACTGTAAAAGACAGTCATGTTGAGGAATGCAAAATGAAAGGCTTTTCTCAAACGCTCAAACATGCCATTAATATGGAATCAGATTCAGAGCCACAAGGTTTGTCACAAGAAAAAAAAAGCCATGGTACACAACTCTATATTTTCCAATGCAACAGACGCCCAAAAATACAAAGACTACATAACTAATGAAACAATAGATTTGCCTAATCCTGTAATTCATAAATGACAACCTTCATTTTTATCTTCTGAAATTGCATTTAGAAGACGAAGAAGGTGTAATATCAGCAGCAGAAAGGGAACATTACCTTGACGGTGATGCTCAAGATAAGGATGAAAGGGAAGCTGAACAACAACATAAGGAAGAAAAATATGCAATACTAAAGAACAACAACAGTGTAATTAAACAAAGTGCCGCAAGCTGTGTAGAAAGCAGAGAACTTGATGAGGTACTAGTCAGAAATTCATCACTGGTACTTTCATTTCACTCATAGAGGATAACATCATGTAGAAGACAACCTAAAAGGCTAAAATTGTTGGTGTCATTTATAGGAGGTAATTGAGAAACAACCAAAGGTTGAACTTGAACTGCCACTAGTTTTGGAGAACCCACCACCAGCTCTTGAAGAATACAAAGGTAACATTTTAAGTTGCACAAATGAAGTAATTTACTTTACCAAGCTGCACATACTGATATTAAATTTAAAATTTCAACTGATTGCTATTAACTTTAAGATTTCAATTGATATTGTTTCTACGCTTTAACATATCAACACCCATCTGCAGAAGAGTTAGTTGGAAATCCATCCGTAGGTAATCATTCTTCATCACCGACCACAACTTCAGGTATAAGTAGAGTTGATTAAATGCACCAAGATAAAGAAGTACCATCACATACTGCATTTACTTAATACAGTTTTCAATATGATGATAATCTAGATGAAGAAAATCAAAGGAGAAATAATGAAATTCCAAGTTAATTTATTGCAAAAGGGTTAAATTTTCACTTGCTTGAGCACGATGGTATATCTGGCATGAATTTGTTAATTTTTTTTTTCTAGTTCTTATTTATCTTAACTTTTGTAGTTACTTATTGTTTTTATCTTCATATTCTGCTGCAACTTCTCATCAACAAATGCTACCTCAAGATTTACTTGTTCAAGTAGCTACAGAAGTCCATCAATCGAAAAAAATTGATGTAATCGATGATACTCAAGAAGGCATTCAAGAGCAGAACTTTCATACTGCCGGTTCAGTGAACTTGAGAGAGGTGTATCTTGACTCCTACTACTTTCTTTCACATTAATCAAACACTCTCAGTGAATTAGCCTTTTTTTCGGATGTACAAAATTAAGTTCATCACTGAAGTTATACTTAAAAACTCAAATATATCAATTGTCAATTAATGTGCAGAGAAACACAGAAATAGAAGAGTTAAGTCTCCATAAAAATCCTGCCCCAGAAGAATCAATGGTGGGAACTTCATCACAGGTAGGTTCATTACCGGCTTCTTTATGGGATAACATTACAGAGGACAACCTAACATGCTAATTTTTTTTTGTTCCATGTACAGGTGTTGATTGACAAACAACCACAGACTGTGACAGACCCACAACAAGATATTCAAGATTACAGAGGTATCTTTTGAATTGCTCCAAAGAAATAATATATCTGGCCAAGTTGCTCTTTATGTAATGACTTCAAAATTTTAATGTTTCCCAGCTTCAAATTTATTGCAACTTACTTGTTATTATGACTTTCCGACTTTCTCAAACTTTCGCCAACTTTATATATTCAAATGTGAATTGGTATCTTTTTTATTTGTAGCATATTTTCCTTTGCATGTGCAATCATCAATGCTTTCACCAAGTACTAGCATCTTTACCACTTCAACTTCAGAAGCACTACTGATTTCTTCTTCAATGAAGCAACACCATGTAACAGAACAATTGGTTGACTTTCATGATCTATCAAAACCTGCTCACTTTCCAGACAAGGCATTTGTTAGGTCAGCAGGTTCACATTTTCAGTCGATGAAGCAAGATGATACTTTTGGTATAAAATTTTAATTTTCTTTTAGGTTTACTCTTAATTTTCATGGCTAGCTACTTATGGCTTTTATCCTCATATTCTACCATAGCTCCTCCTCAAGAAATGCTTACTAGAGATTCACACAATGAGGTTCATGGAGCTTCTGATTTTCAGCTACATTCACAAAAATTTGATGCAATTGTTGATACTCAAAAATGCCTTCAAGAGCAGTACCTTTATCCAGTTGGTTCAACGAAATCAAGAGAGGTGTATCTTGACTCATGTTAATTAATTTCACATTATTGGCACATAACTCTCAGTAAATTGTCTTCCTTTTCTACTTGTGAAAAAATTAATTTCATCACTGAAGTTAAACTTAGAAACTGATATATCAATTAACAATCCATGTGCAGAATAACACGGAAATTGTAGAGGGAAGTCTTCATAAAGATCCTGTATCAGAAGAATTAACAGTAGGAACTTCACCACAGGTAGGTTCGCTACACTCTTCTTCATGGGATAATATATATATAGAAGACTAAAGCCATTGGTTACATATATAGGAGTTGATTGAGAAACAACTACAAGTAAAACTTCAACCGCCAGAGTTTGTGGAGGACACTCAACAAGCTCTTGAAGATTACAAAGGTATCATTTGGATTGATCAATAGACCTAGCGTGTATCTCCAAATTTCACATACTGTTAGCAAATTTAAAATCTCAATTCAAAATGTTTCCAAACTTCAAATAAATTGCAACTTACTGCTATGACTTCCCAACTTTATCCACTTTTAAATATTTAAACCGAAACTGATGTCATTGTTATTTGTAGTGTCTCATCCTCTGCCTCTGGATCCAACAGTGCTTTCACCGAGTACTGGCATCACTACCACTCCATTAACTGCAGAAATACTGACTTCATCTTCAACAAATCAGCAACCTCCAGCAGAAGAGTCTGTTGATTTTCATGGTCTATTTAAGATTAAGGCAAGATGTGCTTGCTTACTCGAAGAGGCATTTGTCAAATATCGACATTTACGGGACTGGGACCTCGCACAAAGGACTCACAGGATTCGCAAGGTGGGATACAAGTCCTTAGCTGACATGTTGGCATTTCTAAAATTAGAGACGCCAAAGACAATGGATGATTCAAAGAAGAAGGCATTTGAAGATCTATATTATGAACTCGAATTTTTTGGCTTTGACAAGAAATGGCTGGCATCCATTTGGAAAAGAGTGATGGATATGCAAGCTGATCATAACAACAAGTTGAAGCAGCTGGATCAGTTGGAGTCGCAAGTTAGAACCTTAAAAGAACAACTTAGTGACGCAACAGCAAGCTTGGCCAGTGTGAAGGATGATCTCTCAAAACCTGGCGACGTATTTGGCTTTTAAGTATGGTTATTATTGAGATATGTAGCTCTTTGAGGTCACCCACTTTGTGTCAACTTTGATTTGTCTCGTGTTTTGGTCATACTTTCCCTTTCAAGAACCCATAACAGATTATCATGTTTCACTAAATCTTATCTTCATGTTGGATTTCAAATATTTGTAGTAGTCACTGTTCTTGTATTGCCATATTATCTACGTTCAGTGAGCGATACATGTTATCTGTGCAAATCCTCTAGTTCATATGGCTCACACGCCTTAATCACTCCCACTCTGACACTAATTTTTGTGATTACAATTGCTGTAGATTACTCTAAATAGTTAGATTGGAGAACGAAAATGAATTTGAATCAAAATAAACTTCAATCGCGTATAATATATATTATTATGTCATCATATCTCATCTAACTAAATTCTTCACACTTGTTTAGTTCTCACTGTTCATTGAGGTTGCTAATGAATAATTAAAAAAAACTAAAAAATATTAATGGAAAATTATATTAATAAACAAAAGTTCAAGGTGTTATTTTAAATTTCACTTAGTAATCTTAGGGAAAAAATTATGTGAGATTTATCTTATAATTAATTTCAATCCAGAAACAATCAATTAAGCAAGTTATAATATTTTTTGGGGGCTCAGAATTGGTCGCAAGATTTAAATACTTGATCCGGTCTATAAGAGCTAGTTCATGAGTTTATTTTGGTCTTAAATTTAAGATCTCAATCTTTCTTTCTTTCTTTCTTTCTTTATTTATTTCTTTTTTTGATGACCAAGATCTCCATCTCTTTTATCTCCTATATTTATCATTTATCCCACGTTACTATTAATTGCGCACTTCAATATATGCAACCAGTTATAATAGTTTCTAACACAAATGATTAAAAGGAGTGGCATTTTAAAGAAACCAACACATACTTTTACTAATCACTAAATGAGATTATTTAATTGATAAAAATTAATTATTTGGCTTCTATATTTAAGACCTGACGGAATAGTAGATATATAGGCTAACTAAATGAATTTTTCAATGATGGTTTTCACCACCCCACTCTTTGATGAGCTGCTACTTTTTTGTTGAAATAAAAATTATCTGAGTTGGATGGTCTCACGGCGCAAAACGGCTCTTGAAATACAATAATTTTCTCTTACATCCAAAATCAGATTTTTACCGATTACATCAATCGGCAACTGCTGGAGTTTTGAAGTCCAGAGTTTGCTATTTTAAATTTACTTTCACATTATTCAGGGAATTTGTTTTCCATATCTTTGAAAAACTAAGCTTGCTGTCTTCATTTATTAATTAATGAAAAGTGACTGGAAAATTATAAATTTACATCTCATATTTTTCCCATTTCAAGCCCTCTCAGGATGTCACGTACAATTGTGATGAGTATTAACACTGTAAAACTAAAACAAGTTAAATCATCCAGTCGATGACCTGCTTAGCATGATAATATATGGAGAGTTAAGTTAACCTGAGATTCAGTTTCGATGCTCATGCAAAATCTAAACTATCCAGATTTGATAAATTTTGCTTTTATATATTTCAATAAATTATTATTTTAATAGGCACATAATTTAAAGGGAAAATGATAGAAAAATTTATATAAATTATATAAATGACAGATATTGATCTCATGAAATGGCAAAATTCTCCTGAAGTCCTATGGAATTTTTTGTCATTAGGGAATTAAAAGAAATGACCAGATTGCCTTTAAATAAAAAAAAAATTCTCAAAGTTGCGAATGACTATTGAATTATTGCAAATTTAAAAATAAAAATTGTTAATATATAAACAAAAATTGTGAATGAAAAATTATGATTTTTCAACACTTGATGCATATCAAGACCTATATGTGTAGAATTGTGAATAACTATTGAATTATTGTAAATTTAAAAATAAAAGTTATTAATATATGAACAAAAATTGTTAATGAAAAGTTACGAATTGTTTTAAAATATGAATAAAGGGCAAAAGCATTATTTCTTATAATTTCCTAATGACAAAAACATCTCTTAACACTTCAGAAGAATTATGCCATTTTGTGAACCAATCTATCATTTACATAATTTAAATAAATTTTTTTATCATTTTCCCTAATTTAAAATAAAGATAATTTTATAACTGTCACTCTGACTAAAAAAAAATTATATAAAATACTAAAAGTTAAATATTTTAAATTTAAACTATTAAAATTAATTTTGAATGGCCCATATCTCATCAAAATGATGAGCATTGAAACCAAATTGAAACCAAACCCGTCTCACCCCATCCCCTCTTTTCTCTCATGACAAAATCCTACATGTGTAGCAGAAAATCATGCTCGCATAACATGTATAGTAGACAAAGTTTGAATTACTATTCATGACTCATACAAACATATAAGTTCATTTAGTTTATAAACTCAGACAATTTAAGAGACAATGGTGATAAGCCACCATGTTTACCCCGCTTTTAATTTTTATGTCTGACTAGAACCCACCCATTCTGTCAAAAAATTTCTCTCTCACACACCCGGCCACGCACATAAAATAAAATATTTATTATATCTTTAATTATTATTTAGAAATATGACTATAATTTTTATTCCTTTACAATTATTTTCATTCTATTCTATTCTATATACTAAGACAAATAGGATGACAATTACAACAATGACTGCAATAATTCAGCGCTTTAACCATGGGGGAAATGGAAAAATAATATTAAATCTTTTGAAGGCTCTGAAAGTTCTCAAGCAATTCAGAAAGAACTACATATCCAGAACCTCCAAGAACCAGCAGTAGAGTTATCTTCCCTCCAGGAACAAGCTCAGGTAGTCTCACAGGTGGAGGTGAATTTGAATTCGAATACCTATCAGACCAAGACATCGAAGCTGGAACAATTCCAAAGAGCACCAACACTACAAATTGAAGTGAAACTATGAGAAAACTTGCTGCAACAAAATTAATTCACAAGAAACAGATTTGCATTATATAGAGGAAAGACTAAACATAGTTCCTTTGCTAAGTATTCATTTTTTCAATAGAAACTTAACCTATACAGAAGTTTTTTTGAGAAAAAAAATAATCATGTACTGATGATTCTGTGGATATATTCATAGTCTGAACTTTTTTGCCTGAACCTCAACAGGATTTTGACAGAAAAGTTGATAGCAGACATTTCAAAAAGACAAAAACTGCACCAAAGTTTTATTCTGCTTCTTATGCTGAACATTAACTTGGTGATGAAAATAATCAACAATCAGCAGCACAGAGACATGCTCAGGCATTCATTATAGTTATACCTCCATAGGTTCCAGCAAAGTCTAAGGCTTTAAAAAATATTTCTGGGTCCAACAATGAGAGTATCAGCGGTGGGACTAAAGCTAAAATATAAGGCAGGGGCTTGTTTTGACCAGATGGGAGCTGCAACACTGAAAATCCACACAATGCATGTGAGAAAAATTATTAATAAATATTCATTTAAAAACTTAATCTTGTGTGCTAAAATGGTTCCTGTCATGATATTTAAGCTTCCATGAACAAATGATTAAGAGTTCAATCCTAGTTGCTGCATAACTCATAATTATATTGAAATTTCAGTACAAGGTATAGAGGGTCTCTATTTTGTCTAAGTTTGTAGCCTAAATGGCCTTTTCATCATTTAAACCAACAAAGGATATCATTGCATTTGAAATGTTGAGATCTTAATTCAACGGCAGAAAATGCAACCCTGAAGCCCTTGACATAATTTGACATCCATTGGAACAAAGAAATAGATTCAAGGATATTAAAAAACCTGACATATATAGTGAAACATGAGAGATAGTCACAACAGATTACAAACTCTCAGAACTACATTATTACCAGACCCGACAAAAAAAAAAAAAAAAAAAGACACTTACAGTCTGCAAGAAAGTCTGACAAGCCCAAAACAAATCCAATGTAAGATGTTGCAATTGCAAGAAGCGAGAATGCTTCAACTATAGGCTGCAGATCACGTTGTGAGGAGGAACATAGATTCAACAATCAGATAACAAAACTTCAGGTGCCTTTATTGTAGCTCGGGCTCAAAATGTCTGAAAGTTTGGACAAACTTACTCCAACTATTCCATTTGTGGATCTCAATTGCTGTAATGGGTCCAGTCCCATTTCATTATTGCCAACAGTTCCTAGGATAACAGCATTCCAGACAAGAAAGAGAATAAGAGGTATACCAGTGCCTAAGACAATTGCACTCCTGCAAGATAAGCCTAGATAATCAACAAAAATGGAAGAAATGTAAGAAAATTAAAATATAAGCCAACTTGAACCGCCAACTTCTTTACAAAGACTTTTGGATGATGATCGAACTGATATTCAGGATTCTAGATAGTTTAATTGTTTCGTTTAATGTCTTATTTTCTTTTACTGTTTTGTTGTTTTGGGTTTTACTTTTAGACTGGTTTTTTAATGGAATCTCAAATTTTGTGATGGCAAAAGGAAAAAAAAACAATTTATATATATCTAATAGTTGGTATATTCAATCATCAGCATTGTAGACATAACTTTCATATCTGAGACAAATATGTCATTAATGGGAACCTATGTGAGATGGGAATTGGGAACTATCTCTCAAAAGCTAACTATTGAGGTGGGAAAACCAACCCACTTGCATTGAGCATTCCATACTACTAAATGTGGGACTTAGCCATCTCATACTACCTAAGCATCCATCATCATCTTCATGCTAGAAGGCATACATTGACTGCAGATCAAGCAACTATTTAAGATAAAAGGTCTCTCTGTTTATCTATGAAATATTGTTTCTAAGGCTTTATATTTGATTCTATAATCGTAAGTTCTCCCTGATATGACTGAGAACTCCAAAGTGAGTAAAAGTCTAAGTATTAGAGTAACCACAAAAAACAAAGTATGATGGTGAAATTTGTCACCTTACTTTTGATAAGTCCCCTTCAAGATTCGTGCAAAGAACAGGCACCACATTCTGGATAAGCAATATCAAGGCATTAAGATTATCTCAAGTTTTTCAACAACTTCAGATTGGTAATGTTACCTGGTAAACAAAAGAAAGCGCAATGATAGGTATACTCATGGGAGCTGCTTGGAAGTTGGCCTTAAGAAGAGCATCCCAGTGCAGATCTCCACTTGCCACTGCCTAAGAATGAAAATTCAATCTCCACCATAACATGAACGAATATTCATCCTCAATTATCACTTTTAGTCATTTATTCTTGCAAATGATTTTTGTCATATGCATGGAAAGATTAAAATATATGTACACACAACTTTATGTAACAGTAGAGTGAAATCCTATTTCTCTTCATCTTTATGCCTTTAATGTTCTAATAAAACATATTAAATCTCATGTTTACTCAATTGAAAGTGTCCACACACGTGTAAATTCAATTCTTCCTCATGATGGCTTGGAAATATGCAAAACAGTTAGAAACAACAGATATCATACACCTATTAAACCAACAAAATCAGTAACACCAGACAAGCAGATTTCCCATGCACACGCACATGATACACACAGTCATATGCACAATCCTCTAAGAGCTGGACTGGGCCAGGCATATGAGGACTTCGATCATTGAAGGGCCTGGCTAGGCCCCATCAAATGTGAGAAACTTAAGAGCCAGGTCAGCCCAATTAACAAATTTTATTTACAATCTGTCTGCTATATCAACCTAGCTGGAATATATCAACCTTGAGATGAATGATCATTTCCTTTGTTGTCATAGTGTTTGGTCATGGTTATTGGCACTGTGAGGTACTTCCTCCAATCCTATTTGTAAGATACCTTTTAGAAATAATTTTTCGTCCAAAATGTAGGATACCTTATAATAATTAAACCACTGTTTTCAATTTGACCCTTTCTTGATTAATGTGAAGGTATTTAATGTAATTGTATCATGATTTAAAGCCAAGAGTAAAAATGAAAATACATATCTTTGTTTTATGATATCAGGAAAAATACTAATTTTTCTTAAAATGCGTGAAATGGTTGAAAATATCCTTCAATAAAAAGTGGAGGGAATATTCTACAACATTTACAAAGATCTTGAATATTTGTTTGACTACCATATCTATTCAATAACAATAAACTAGATGAATGTACTCGGCTAAAAATTATAAAGAGAAATATGAATTTTATTTCAAAAAGATATGAAGAGAAATAATGGTGAACAAAGAACAAGCCATCTTCACTCTGGCCTAGAAAATGGAACTAATAAGATACTACATAAATAAAACAGGAATTGTAGTTTTTGATTTGAAAATCTTACCACGAGAGCTGCAAACGTACTAACGATTCCAAATACAAGAATCCCATTAACTGCACCTATAAAGCGCTGGCTACAGATTAAAAACAAGTCTTGGTTAACATTCCTACCCTTTGAAATAGGAAAATTATTCTTTAAACAAATGTAACAGAAAACCTAATTCTTTTCCTTTGGTTCCTTTTCCAACTGCATTCAACTGATCTTACCAAAATTTAATTAATTGTGAAGATTTACAGCTCTCTGATAATATTTTATGTATTGAAACATGATGAATATCTTGAGGTGTTCTCTCTATCTTTACTCATCTTTTTTTTTTTCTGTTTTTGTCCCCTTTAATTTCACATTTTCATTCATTTATTCTTATTTTATCGACTAATAATACTATTCTATGGCCTCTATGTATGCTTAGACAATCATGAACAATATAAAGTTGAAATTGAAACTTCTTCCCAAAAAAAAAACATAGAAGAACTTACCATTGAAAAAAGGATTCTCTACATGTATCATAGGGTATCATAATTCTTACATTCATATACGTTGAGATTCTGAGACCTATAAATCAAAGTGTTCCAACAGAACATTGATATAATATGATTGGATTGGACGACTTCTGTATATAGACAGATGTTTTTCATTTGCATTCAATTAATGATACAGTATCATTTTCTCAGGCCAAAAAAAAAAAAAACAATACACTGTCATTTTGGATTGACAAGATAATGGTGTCAATTTTACTACCAAATCCACACCAGGATGAGTAAACATATTCAAAAGGATATAAGTTGACGGAAGGACAACAGTAGAATTTTGAGGAAATGCACAACCACCTTCCAAAAAAGCATATGCCTCCAAAAACCAATGAAAACAAAGTTGCACTTTCCCATCTGCAACCAAAATGCCAGTATCAGCATCTGGCAAGCATGCTAGGTTTACTAGGAACATAAAAGTTAAGTCTGGTCACATGACTAAAGATACGGGAGGCAGAAGAGAAGGTAAAATAAAGAAATAATTGAAGGCAGAAATTGTGACTCATACGAGGGAATTCCAAGAAAATTCATCAAGATATCTGAAGAACGAGCTACATATGCAACAAGGAGGGCATAATGGATGAAGATGTATGACCAACTGCAAGGAAATAAGAATTATTACAAAGATAAACAAGATAATGCTAATGAAATTTGCTAAGGCCACTTCAAACATGTAATTAGACAATTTTAGGGTTAAAGCAAGAAAATATACAGCGGCTAAAATGAAAACAAACAAGTGAAATTGCAAGGACAAACATGAAAATATAGGTTTCTTCATGATTTAACTGTCATTTTGTTTATAATTGCATATTGGTGGTGCTCCAATGCAATTATGCTCATTATCAAGTTTGTAGTCCAACTAGGGATGGATTAAAAATCCATGAAGTGTAAACCACTATTGCATGTTGACTTCACCTAGGCACAAGCCCACTTTTTCATAATAGATTATATATATATATATATATATATATATGAACCTACCATGCAATTTGAACGCCTACTGTCCCTAAAGTTCTCCTGGCCATTGATACCTGCAATCAATTGAAAACAAGGTATTAACCAGCTAATTGATTAGAATAGAAGCTAAAGATTTTCAAAACAATGACAATTCATACAGCCCTTTTACACATCTATAATCACAACAAAAGGAATCCTTTGCTAAATTCTGCTTCATGGAACCTAAGGTAGGAACTAGAATGCATCCTCCATCAGCTGGCAGCTATATTTGCTTTTAGGAAATAGAGAAGAACCTTACTTTCAGACAAGTGAAATCTTTGCTAGCATAAGCGAGTAAGGAGAAGGAGAAATTACCAGTGAAACACCACCAGAACCTAGTTCACACATGGTGCTGATATTCACTTCAGCAATGAGCAAACCTGTCACAACCTGCAGAAATTTTCTTTAGATTTGTTCATGCATTATTCCCTTTGAATGTGTTGAATTCTTGCACTCAGGATGCAATGCAAAAGGATATACTGAAGGTTTTCTGGTGAGTTGTACGTTTGCACAATGGAGAATGCTGTCACAATTGTACGTTTGAGAAGCTAATCACTTGTTTTTTTATCGGGGAAAAAAAAAGTGATTTGTGTCAATATTATTCATCACCATTGACCAATAATAATGTGAATATTGGGTTATACCAAATAATTTGGAATTGAATCATAATCACCAAGGATTATTACCATGAATACCCAACAGAGGATGCATACAACTGCAGAGGTCAAAAAGCCTGCTTCTTGTGTTACTGCAGGAACTGCAAGGATACCTGCTCCCACCTGTGACATTTCATAAAAGAAAATGGGCGAAATAATGGTTAAAGTTTAAATGAATCTAAATAAACACAAACAGGAAAACAGAAAATTTTGTCAAACCACTGTAGCTATGAATTTGTGGAGGTTTAAGGGGACATGGAAATTCCATCCTTAACATTCATATGGTGATATCCATGTCCGTGTGCAACTCAAGTCATCTATCAATATCAACTACAAAATCTTCCCCCAAAACACCATCCACAAATCACATAAGCCATCGCTCACATGGGAGCTTGGTGCCCTTTTTCCTTCCACCTCTCTTTTTCGTATAGTCTTTCCCCTTATTTTTCTTTCCTGACATCCACGCACAGAAGCAGGGGGCCACCTAGTTGTATTCATATATCTGTGAACATTATTGCTCAGACATGATAATATAATATACAAGCAAGCTTCAACAAGCAGGTTCCTCTAAAGAGAGGTTTGAGAAGGATAGTGTAAAAGTACCATTTCTCTGTACTTGAAGCTACTGAAATTAATGTTGACATGCTAGGCTATTATTTTTCATTTGGATTCTCTTACTGCTATGTGGTTCAAATTACATCACACTAAATACTGCAGACATGTGGATTATCTTGTTTGAATACAAAATTTTGCCTTCAAGAGATAAAGAAAAGACCCAGGTTTTTGTATGTGAACTTTTCTAGTAACTCGAATTGGCCCCATACATTTGCACAAAGCATGAAATTAGTCACACTCTGTTTATGGCTTGTGAGCAAGAAAACTCCTTATAAATTTTATAGATATTGATTCAGATATTAACTTCATGAATCCATGGCTTTTCTGACTTGAGCATAAGAAAAAGGGACACTTATTCATACAGTGAGCATGGCATGGCATGGCATGGACGCTAATACAAGCACCACTCCTTTTTTGGAGAGCCTGCGTCTCAGAGAAATACAAAAACGAGACCAAGGTATAGAGGACACTGTTTAATATTGCTACCAAAAGTTACTCTCAACCATCTCCAGTTATAGTAGAATTTGATTCTCCCTCTCTGATTTGCTTTGAAGAGCCAGCCACGCTAGTGGCATTTAGTACCGTTTAAAAATTGTCGCCTTTCCACGCTTCTACTACGCCTTACATTAAAAAATAAATAAATACACTCACCCGAAGAGGCCCAAATACGGTAAATAATAAAGATTGCAAAAGTAAAAAAAGAATCAAAACCAGCGCACCGTGGTGCCTGCAACCAGGAAAATTGCACTGGATAAGCTCCCTGGAAATATCAACAAAGGGGGAAGATGAATACAAGAAAATTACAACAAGTGACAAAAAAATAGAGTTTTACTACGGATAACAACAGCAATAAAAACGACAGATAGAATTGCATGATGGCATATGTAAACAGAATAAATCAGAAGTTAAATGATCCGGGAGAGAGGTGGTAATTTTAACTTTGCACATGGTTAAATATATCTATAAAACATTTGAGGATAAAAAAATATAACTAAGAAAAAGCGTACAAGTTTTTTTATATTTATCCCACGTTCTTGTTCAGTTATCGTGCAAGCAGCATGCAGTATTATGGGCATTAATTACAATAGGAACAACTTTATATCTCACTTTTTCGAAAACTTGTAACGTCTCTTGAGACTTGCCATTAGGATTAATCTAACATCCCAATATTGAAACAAATCATTTAATCTCAGCACTAACCTCAAAACAAATGAAGATGTTCAAGTGAAACAATGAAATTATTCACCATTTTAATATATAAGTAATGACGTCTAGTAAAACTTAAATATAAAATACCATTACGCAGTCAATTAGTAATTGAACTACTCATGAAGTATCCAATGGCATGCTTTAAATTAGAAAAACTAATTTTGAGCCAATTTATAATTTTCCGACATTTGTTAAATACTCATATATCGAAAAAAATTGCAATTGAGCCTGTAGTTCACTAACCAGGTTCCCTTTGCAAAGTTGCTTGGTTGAGGTTCGAGAATAGCCGTTCAATTTCGAGTTCTTGATCATCTCGTTCTTGTTCCTTTTCTTGAGTGGATTGGGACTGCCTCTGCACGAAGCATTTGTGGAGGTTTCTGCTCAAAGGGCAGGGAAGAAAACTAACAGAAGTGGAAATGCTTTGTTGAGGAGTTAATTGGGGAAATGTAGGAGGAAGCTTCCCCGGTAACTGCTGATTTCTGAGTGAGATCCCAAGGGTTCTTGGAACCTGAAAGAAAGGAGGAGTAAAAGTAGAAGAAGAAAACATCATGAATTATGTTTATGAGTGTTGTTAAACTCAATTGGAATTTCTGTTATGCTGAGAAAATTGAAGAACCAGAAGAGCCATAGTTGGAAGTTGGAGGAGTCTGAGTGAAAATTATTAAACTGACGGGGGCTTTTCATTTCGGTTTCTTTGGGATAATGTGGGCCATGAGCAATCCCGTGTTCTTTTTTAAATAAAATATTTAAATTTTTTTTTTTTGGTTGGATACCATTTTTTTATATTTGACAAAGATTAAGAAACATAAATGTCGCTTGGCTAACTAAATCATTACAAAACAATCCATGAAAAAAAATTAAATATAGAGTGAGGGAAATTCTCATAAATTATTTGAAATTAGAGTTGTGTAGGTAGCCCAATCGACCCAATTCTACTGAAATAGTCCAGCTACGGCCAATTCCAATATTGCTAGGCCTAAAGATATTTATATATATTTTTTAATTTTTTAAAAGATCAAACTATTTTATAGTATTATTTTTTAATATATTTTATGTATTATATTGTTTTTATGTTCATTATGGATTTTTTATTTCAATTTTGTAATCTTTTTAAATATTTGAAATTGGTTTTTTTTACTTTATATCATATAAAAATAATGAATGATTGTTAATTATGTACAATTTAAAAATTATTACTTTAAATTCTAACATTAGTTTTATAAAAAAATCCATTTTAAATAATTATAATGATATTTTTTTGTTAATAAAATTATTTTTAAAAACAATTTTTGGGCATTGGGCCGAATCTTTGGTAGCCTAATGCCTGAATATACATGTTGGGAGAAGGAGGAGCAAACCCGACCCAACTCATGTACACCGTACACATACTTGGAATTAACGATGTTGAAACAAATGGAGCAAATAATTAATGTTCAAGATGAAAGCATTGAAACTATAATTTGAGAATGCCAAAAAAAATAAAGAATTGTTGCTTGTTAATACTACTAATTTTGCATAGTATTAAAAAGAGTATGCGGAGCACAAAAGAAGTTGATCTACCAAAGAGTTGCCCTTAAATGTATGAAAAGAAACTAAGATGCATCTTGAGATTGTTTCCTTCCCAACTTATAGTTGGTGAATTGAGAGTTGAAGCATGTTGCAGTAAAGTAAAAAATTCTATCTTTTTGAATTTCTTGAGTCAAATTGTCCGCAACTTATAGGTAAGTAGAAAAATAGAATGAGATGAAATCAAATGTGAACTTGATGAAGAAAGCAACCTTGATTTCAGGAAAGAAGGCCAATGATAAATATGATCAAGAAAATAGCAATGACTCTTGAAATTCCTCAGCAAAATATTTGAGTTCGGAGTTGAATCTTAATAGATGATAGAATTCTTGTTGATTGATTAAAATGATAATATATCGAATCAAATCTAAATATAAATCTCTAAAAAGTTGCTTGAAAGTATACACTAATCAAAAAATAGAAAGCTTAAGTCTAGAAATTCAATCTACCAGGTCAAAAGGGATCGGTTTTTATTTGATACCAAATCTGTACCCAGCCATTCATTATTAGGGTTAGTTGATTTAGTTTATGAATTACCTAGTTTGAACTAAAGAAGATTATTTTTATCTAGATTTTTTTTTCAATCTACCAAATTATATAATAAGTTATTTGAGTCAATCCATATAATTAATTTGATTTATATTCTAAATTTCAAGTCATAGCTTCATTGAGAGAGGGGGATAACTAATGAATTAGGATCAAAATTGTATGCAATCCACTCTGAATTTTCATAAATTTCATATCATTTCAACCATCCATTAAATAACGTTCCTAATTTAGTCACAAAATAAATAAATCGTATGGAGACGCAACCAACAAATGGAACTAGCACGCGCCCAGCAAAAATAGGAGATGGTTGGAATCAATTGGCACCAAACTCACGGTATTAAATGTTAAAAAAAAAAAACACAATTTTATATTCTTACACTTTATTTATATTTTGTTATAAATTTTTATATTTTTTATAATATTTTAAATTTCTCTACTTTTCTTTGTCTACATTTTAGGTCTCTCTAACACCGCTCATGGAGGAGCTTAAGGTGCAGACGGAAAAAAGTATAAAAATTTAAAACATTAAAAAAGTGCAGGGACATATATTAAACTTAAACAAAATGTAGGGATTTAAAATTATGTTTTTTTAAAAAGTTTGAAATTTGAAACTTCTCAAAACGTTGAGCTTAATTTATTATGTGGTTAATTTGAGAACACAGATTTTTCATTTTTGATAATGGTCGAAGTATATCAGCTAATTAAAAAGAAAAAATAAAAGAAAAAACCAGATCAGAAAATTGATTTAATTGACGGCTGAAATGATATGAAATTTACAAAAATTCAAAGAGTGATTGCAGACGATTTTGATCCTGTTATGGGTGTTAATCCCTTGGAATAAAAATCTCTAGTTTTATATATCATTCATCTTCCAAAATAAATTGATGGTCATGTATTAATCCATTTTCATAAAAGGAAAGAGCATTCATGAGGTTTTTTTTTTTTCAAAATTCTGCGTGAGTATTTTCAATACCTATCTTTAAATATTTTCCTTAAAAAAAAAAAAAAAAATGTTAAAAAAAATTAAAACTGTGTCAGAAAATTGAAAAAGTGAGTATTAATAATATCTTCTCAGAGAATTTTAATTCAACCAATAATTTTAGTCGTGGCTAAACGAAAACCAATAATTTTAGTTATTTCTTATTTTCTTTTAAATTTTCTGTCTTTAAATATAATTATTATTCTTGAAAGGTCCACAAAAGTCATTCTTCTTTTCACATTTTCCTTTTGCCAAATATTGTAACATTTTGGAAAGGAAAAATGATAGTTAGATTTCAAAAGGTGGAATTAATGATAATTAAATCTTTGATAAGATTTTTTAAAAAAATGAATTTCTAATATTAACTCAAACAATTATCAACAGATATTTAGATTACAATTTAAAAATTATATTTAATACTTACTAAATATTTATTTACAATTTAAATTCCTAAATTTATTACTGTTTGAATTAATATTTTTTAATTTTTTAAAAAAATTGTTAGTGATCTAACGGTTTTTTTTTAAATAATTCTTAAATAAAAAATTAATTTTTTGTTTTTTAACTGTGTATCCAAAGCCTACGGGACCCATTGGCCGTAAAAACAGCCAACGTAGATGACCCCATTAATGGAAAGTTTTACAAATTTAAAAAAGAAAGCACAAAAAGGCTTCAGCTCGGATGGATGGTATCCTCATGGGCAACATTTTCCTTCCACATCCCAATGAGCAATTAAACAAAAAAAAAAAAAAGCAAAAATTTGTCACCATTTGAATTCTGCAACCGTAAAGCCTCTCAAATTTGCGGGCCAAAAAAATTATGGATTATTGTTATCAAAATTGTTTTTGGAATGATTATCAAAAAAAATTTTATGGCAAATGCCGGCATGCTTCTATTGAAAAAGAAATATTTTATGCTTGGAGTAATAATTTTTAATTAACATCATTGACCTGAATAATTATATTTTTATTATTTACGTAAAACTTACAAACCAAACCTTATCTCTTCAATATTGCACTCAATTCCACTCTTAAATTTATTTAGTTTTGATGTTATAAATATTAGGACAGTATATGGGTGTTCATTATCACATATTCTCTAATATCTTTTAATTACTATAATATCTTTCAGTTATTATTATTTTGTATATTTTATTTATTTTAATTGATATATTTGTGCCTATAAATAGAAAGCACCTCAATTGTATTTGACACATTAAAATAAGAAAGCTCTCTACTCTCTTATTCTTTTAGTACAGTGTTCCCTCTTTTCTTCTCTATTTCATAACACATTATTAGCACAATTGTTTTTCTTCTACCATCACTAGGTACGTATTTTTTATTTTTTTTTCTTCTTAAGTTTACTTTACTCTATTCTGTTAGTATAGTAGAGATTTATGCTCATGCCTATGAACATCTCTAATATAGACGGAGGCACAATTTAAATTTTATAAATTGTGGATCCAAAGTTATCCACACATAACATAAAGTGGATCATGAAGATATCTACAAAACTTAAAGTGAATCTTAAAGTTATCCATGTGATATAATGTATATCCTAAAGATATCTACATTTAAGTATTTATTTATTTATTTACTCATTTATTCTGCATTTAATTTCTTATTTCTATTTTCTTGTCTATATATATATATATATATAATTCATTTGGTTATCTATCTATATAATTTTAAGAAAAGTGGATCCATAAGTTATCTGTATATAAAATGGATCTTGAAGTTATCCATATGAAATATAAAATGGATCTTAAAGTTATCCATATAAAAAATATAAAGTGAAGTTTGGAGATATTCACAGAATTTAAAGTGGATTTAGAAGCTATCCACAGTATAAAGTAGATTTTGAAGACATCTATATTAAAATTCACCTCAATGCTAATGGTCTAGGAGATACAATTTAAGCATCCAATGAAGCATCTAATCAGAAAAAGGCAAAGGGAATGATCTTCCTACGATACCACCTCCACAAAAGATTGAAAGCTAAACATCTTACGGTGAAAGACCCATTTATTCTTTGGAGCAACTTGAAGGAAAGATATGATCATTAGAAAACAGTTATCCTTCCACGAGCATGATATGAATGGATGCACCTATGCTAACAGGACTTTAAAATTATAAGTGAGTATAATTCAACTATGTTTAGAATTAGTTATAAACTCAAATTTTGTGGAGAAAAAATCACTGATGAAGATATGTTAGAAAAAACATTCTTCGCATTTCATGCATTTAA